ACTAGAGATCGTCGTTCTGACTTTACAATCTGTTGAATAATGTATTGATTGACAGCAAATCATATTATATTCCTGAATTGATTTTAAGCTAGGAAGTGAGCTCAAGATAATTTTTCAGCTGTAACAACGGTATCAAACACACTGCAGTCGATCTCAATATCAGAAGCTTATGAAGAGTCCTCAATTTCCTAAATTACATTAAAATATGTCAAACCAACGAAATACTATATACTGAGTATGTCTAACAATTGATTAACTCATAAACTCAAAATACTGTGCAGTGGTAGGCAAAACATCTGACGATGTCAGATGAGTCTGCGATAACCAAATGTTTGAAACTTTTGGCCTAAGAGATAATCGCTTTGAGATAAAGTAATCTCAAAATAGTGGGAGTCTTGTAAAGCAAAGTTGAAACCTCAATTTAGATGCTTAATTATAATTTTTAACCGAGTTTTCAAGCTTCGAATAAACCCTTTTTTAGCGCTCTTCAGACATTAAATCGCTTGTAATTCGAAAATGGTAAGCTTTAGAGCAAAGTTAACTGGAGCCTTTTTTGTTCGGTGCCTAAGGACAAAAAAAGCTGAAAAAAGTTGTCCCGGCAAAAATACTGTAATTTATTTCAAAAAAAAAATTGTTCAAACTTTGATCTGGGTTACCGTGCTTAAAAACCCTATTGAAAAGTTAAAGTTAAAACCTTGTTCTACACGACCTTAAAAGAGTCTGTTAGATTAGTTTATTTTAAAGCGATTTCAACCTTCTTTTTCAGGTCATAATTGGCCAACTTTTGGTTTTCGCAGTCTGTGTACATTCACTTCATCAGAATCAAATTATAAAAAACGTTTTATCTTTTCTGACCAAATGAATACTTTAGAATTCCCATTTCGATACTGCTTTTCTAGTTGTGTCAGCTCGTTGGACCTCTCGATCGATTTTCTGGTCAAGACCTACTTCTATTTGTCTGTTCGGTATAATATAAAAATTAATTGTTTTTAGACATCAACTATTCTTCTTGATCTCAGCATCCCATAGACAGTTGAAATTAAATTCTATATAATATATCTCACATGACTCGTGGGCCATATTCAGAAGAAACGTTCTCCAAGGCCATATCATAAAAGGAGAGTTTGAAATAAGCAAGAAGTGAAGTATTCGATGTTTGAGTTTTAAAGTTAGATGCGATTTTTGACGTTTTTCCGTGGTGTGTGGAACCGAAAAATATTAGAAATACATAATGCAAAGGACGTTACTGAGTTCAAGGAGACATACAATGTCCAGATCTATATTCATACATGTGAGATGAAACGAGACATTATTTGCAAACATTGTCCGGCAAGATCCTTTGTTTTGCTAAACGGGAAGAGAGTTATTTTATTCTACTATTATTTGATTTATTTTATTATTCGCAAATCTAACACGCCACGTTAAATTCGTTCCATGTAACTTCTAGAACGCATCGTATGATCTATGATATTTAGGGTATCTCATAGAAATCTTCAAAATAGGCCAGGAAATATGTAATTTTTTTGTGGGGAATTAAATTCTTTACCATTTTGCTTCTTTGAAAATATGTCGTATAGTCAAAAGGTTACGAGAAATGAAAGGGTATGTAAAAGATATTTTATCTTGCAAAGGTTAAACTAACAACCTAAGCGAATAAAGACTACCATCCTTTTTGTAGAGAATGAAATTTTCTACGAAACACCTTTGTCGTTCCGTTGGGAAGGGGTTGTCTGTTCATAAAACCAAAATCTTTCATTTGCAGTGAATATTAAGTCAACTTTATAAATACAAACAAATTAAAATACATGGTTTATTTTACTTAAAATCAAAAAATCTGTCAGCACCAAAAAAATCATAATTTTTATCAACCCTGAGTTTGATGGAGAACGATAAATTTTCTGGCTACTTTCGCACAGTATTTTAAATGTAAAAGGTCATACTTGTTTGCTTTCCGCTCATCTGTCTCCAGGACTACTAGACCTAAACCGCACTGACAAATTGCTAACGAGTACGAAACATCTGCGGTTACGCATACGGAAAGCAAACATGTTCATTTAAGCCGTGTCCAACCAAACTGTTTGCGCCAAATATCGTCTGTGTTATAACTGACGCCATTTTTTATCCATAATAGATCCGATAATCTCATTTAGCATTACAAATATAAATCACCATTATGGATATTGTGCGTTTTATAAGCTTGTTTTATAAATAATAAAGGTAACGCGAGCATATAGTATTGAAATAAATTCAGAGCGTTGTACTGATATTGCGTGTATTGTCGAGAGTGTCCATAATAATAATTGCAATTAATATTATTCCATGCATTTGAAGCACTTTGGAACACATGTACCATGCACCAGGATGATTTGTTATTAATAACATATCTAAATATGAACTTACACCGTTATTTTGTTCGAATATTTAATGTAAAATGGTGTCATATATTCCATAGGAGAGAAAATTGTTAAGTCTGACACAAGAATTTGCAAATAGGAAAATAAAAATTAAATTGGTTATTACAAAAACCTCACAAGTCACTAAAACTGTGACAATGACAAATAAACCAGTTTCAAATTGCTTTTTGAGCTTAGTAATTGAGATTTAACAAACTGAAATTTCAAATAACCTTCATAGTTTAATAATAATAAAATAATAATAATAATAGAAAGGCCCAAAAACTGTTCTGGACTTTTTAACAGGAACTAAGGTAGTGGTATATAAGTGCATCATAAGAAATATAATCATACTTTTGACTGCTTATTATTGAAAATTACACTTAAATGTTGACTGATTAACACGTCACATGTTCCTATTGCGAATATTTTAAAATATTATGTCATCTAAGGTACATAGGGAACATCCAGCTAAAGCGAACACCCTGTGAAAATCAAATCTTCCGTTTGACACCTTATCCGTACAGAAAGGAATTTGTTGTACCGATAGTGCATCTGGAAACGTGGCCTCTCTCCGATTCCTAGCTCGGGCAGACGTGGCAACGTGGTAGCGCGGTTAAGCATAGAAAAACACTATGCTGTTGCAGAAATGCGTGTGATTCCATACCAGAACACTCTCACGGTACGCGCATGACGCCAGCAGCCGCGGCCGGTAGGTATGTGATCCGTCTCCCGAGAATATTTTTTTGTTTTCAAGGCTAATGTACAGAGAGATCCATGGTGTATGAAATATGTCTAATAGGTGCATAGAATTACAAATGTTGGGAGCGTATAAATGTATCAGCATCAAAAATTGATGATGAGATAAACCCTCACTCCCAGTTTTTTTTACCTCCACAATTTTTTTTCAAAAATGATCAGGATCCTCTGAAAGGTACAAAAACGAAGTGTGAGCGATTTTTACCTTTTTCGTTTTAGGCTTTTTCTCTGCCAACACTGGACCGATTTTCAAAAACTACAAAGCTTTTGCGTCCTTGGCATAGTAGCGGTACTTTCGAAGTAATAGTCTGTTATACGGTTAGCGGACAAACCGACAGGCAGACAGACCGACGGAAATGAGTGACACGGTTTTTCGTATACATGTCATATACTACCCAAAAAACATAATATCCCATTTTCGAAAATTTTCGCGATTACGCCAGTAGGCGTGAGAGGTAAAATGATATTGCAAGATAGGTGATGGGCGTGTAATTCCATTCCATTTCAAACTATCTGTACGTCCAGCTTCTTAAAATACTTAGCGCTTTCTCAGTTATACAAATGATGAGGGCCGAGTCATTCGTTTTATTAGACAACAAAAAAACTCTTAAATAAATGATTTTGGAACAAATGGATGAGGCAAAGTGGATTCTGTATTCTCCCACAACCGTATTTTTGTAATTAGTGAATTTAAAATTAGTGTTTTGGTAGCATACAGCACATAAACATAAAAATGAAACAAAACAAGGATTCAGGTACTGTTTTTGAAATAACCCATTCAAGCACCCACCGTCGTGAAATGCATGCACAAACCATCTATGTCCCAGACTTTTCTTTATGCAATAGACGTCGATTACGCGATTTTAATTGAAATGGAAGGAATATATGGACTTACGAGATGTACACCCAGAATATGCATTTACCTTTAATGCAGTGTTATCAATACAAAAAGCATGTTGGAAAAAAGTTGACTCAATTGAATTTTGAAATAAGTGATTAAATTGCATATACGCATTACAGTGCCGAGGTAACCAAATCATTGTCGTATAGTGGATGGCTAACCTGATAGGGTAAATCGTTAGTTTTCGGACACCTGACAGTTATTGGACATTGCTGCTTCAAAACCGAATAGCTAAACTTGACCGTCCAGTAGCCGAGTTCGGGTCTCTAATATTTGGTCTACATTTTAGGAACAAGCAATATGCCGAAATTAAGGCAATACGACAAGTCGAAACTTGAATACGCTCTCAGAGACATACAAAACGGCTCAGAATCTTACCGAACAGCCGAAAAAAAGTACGGAATTCCGAAATTCACTTTAGAATTTAAACTGAAACATTCCGGTCATAAAAAAGCCTTGGGTCCATCGCCAATTTTAACAAGTGAAGAAGAGGCTTTGTTAGTTAGGTAATTTGTATTTTATTAGTGTTTAATAACACGAGACTAATTTTATAAATATTTATCTGCAGCTGGATAAAAGGTAATACTGCAAAGGGTTTTCCAAGAAAAGCCAACGATTTGAAGAATAGCGTACAAAGATTTTTGACTGTTAATCCGCGCCCACACAAATTCAATGATAATCGACCTGAAGATGGGTGGGTTAAGGTATCCCAGCAAATAAGTAATATCTAATTAGTTACTACTTATAGATATTTTCAACGTTACAGGGATTCTTGAAAAGGAATCCCGATATCTCTAAAAGAACAGCTGAAGGGGTTACTTGGTCCAGTGCATGTGTCTCAGAACAGGACATCAGAAACTGGTTTGTCAATATCCATGACTACCTCAAGCAAAAAAACCTAGAAGATGTGCTTAAAGATCCTTCAAGGATTTTTAATGCTGACGAGCCAGGATTTGATATTTGTCCTTCCACTGGGAAGGTGTTTGCAGCAAAAGGGACAAGAAATGTGTATTCTGTAGAACGCGATTCTTGCAGATGGTACGACTTGCGTGCCAATGGTAGTTTTCCCTTATCAACGCATTCCTGAAAAAATAACTAAAGGTATTAATCCTAAGTGGGGCGTAGGAAGAAGCGACAAAGGATGGACGACATCCGAAACATTTTATCAATATATAGCAAATGTTTTCTATCCCCATCTGAAGGAAAATGCCATCAAATTACCAGTGATCCTCTTTCTCGACGGTCATAAGAGACACCTGAATTATCATCTGAGCATTCTATGTAATGAACTACAAATTGAAATCATTTCACTGTATCCTAATGCTACAAGGATATTGAAACCCTGTGATGTATCCATTTTCTGGCAATCAAAGAAGCTTGGCGTCAGTCAGTACGAAAGTGGGCAAATAGTAAAACAAAGTCGTTTTTGCTGGTATTCTAGAAAATGCTGTTTATAAGAGCTTCAAAGCAGAAACAGTTGTAAACGGGTTTAAAGTCTGCGGTTTGTATCCTTTCAATCCAGATAACGTTGTCTATACAAAATGTCTAGGAGTGAGGACCATGCAGCAACCAAATATTGGTGTAGAAAATCTTACTCAGAACAAGATGACCTACGACAAGTTCGCAACAATAGTTGGTCCCAAAAAAATCGAAATATTCCAAAATATTGATGGAAAAACGGCAGAAAATGAAATTTCCGATGAAAATTTGCGTCTATTATTCAAGACTTGGAGATTCTTCCGAAACGGTGATACAATACCTACGGATATCACAGAGCGAAAAAATAAAATTAATATTGTACAAAATACAATTATAATGTCCCCAACAAAAAATCCTTCACTTGCTTCAAATTCTAGTGAAACTGAACAAACTGCAACCGAGTACCAGCAAAGCTACCGTCAATGTAATGTGTAAGCAAATAATTCCTCCCCACCGAGTCGTAGTTACAAACAATTTGTTATGAAGCTTCCTAGAGTCACCTTCTGCACCAGCAAGAAAGGGTAAACGAAACATAGAGAGATTCCCTTTTGCTATAACATCTGAGCGATATCAGGAGATGTTCAGGAAAAAAGAAGAATTAAAGAAACAGCAGGTATAAGAGAAGGAAAATAGAAAAAGGAAGAAGCAGGAATAACGAAACGAAAAACAAGGTAATGGTAAGAATTCACAAGCAGCAACACAGTGCTCTGCCTGCCTAAAGGGCAACAGATCTGGTGAACTACAATGTGATGACTGTAAACGATACTATAATCAAGACTGAGTTCCACAAAGCCACGAACATAACATACCTAGCGATGACGATTTATACATATGTCATAACTGCTACAGATTGAGTGATAGTGACAAGGATTGTGAAGATATTGATGATCAGGAAGTCGATGAATTATACGACCAATATAATCAGACAAAAAAGCATTTTACAAATGATTATACCACATTATATAACGCCCGTCCAATAACTGGATTTTCAGTGTCCCATATCTACGTATAAATGATGCGTCCAATAGTTTTTTGCATATGTTCAAATTATCTTTGTTAGTGTAAATTCTACAAAGTTATTTTCAAATATGTTCTAGCAGTCTAGTTAATAAAGCCTCTAACTTCCTTTATATGTAGTTTCCATTGTCTCTTTGCCATAATTGAAAGTTTGGCTCTCATTTAAAGTTGTCTAAACCTTAACTGTCCAATAATTATCTGGTTTGCCCTACTAATATATTTGCCCCTTTTATTTTTAACCTTAAGTACTTAGGATACCCTGTACACCATACTTGACAAAGAACAAATTTAAACGTAAATAAATAAAAAATCCGATGTACACAGATCTACACCGTAAGAAGGGGGATCAACATTTTTTACACAAATATCAGTGAGAAATAGCGCCAAATCAGGAAGTAAGCTCATGAACACACCACAGGTTGTCAAATGTAAAAAAGATGTTGATATCTTGTTGACGTTTGTATCAAGAATCATACAAGCTGAATAAAGCGGGTATATATATATATACGTATATATATATCCTTTTGACCCGTGCAGTTCAATATGCTAACCGAATAATTCAAAGTAATAACCAATCCAAATATATCTGGCAAATCGTCAAAGAAATAAATGGTACTCGAGGTCAACAGCACAGCCAAAATATACGCTTACCTGGTAATCCACAAGATATATTTAATGCAAATTGATTCTTGAGGCTGCTCCAAATGGGGTGAATAGTCGGCCGAATCACAAACGCTTCTGATGCAGAATAGCAAACAATGTAAAATCCTTGTTCTTGCCACCAGTGACAGTAATTGAAGTTTTAGAAATAATTTTCAACCTTACTAGAAAACTATAGTTTAATAGCAACTTTTTCAAAAAAATTCCGAGATTGCTTATGTATACTCGAGCTTTTTTATGACATGAAACTTATGAGTAGATCACAACATATAGTAGGTATCTTAAAGATTAATAAGTAGAATCAGCTGTGTACGAGTTTGGTGATAAGATACTGACTGACAGGCAGTATTTGAATGGGCATGTTTTTGGATCTATCCAAAGCATTAGACAGCCTAAGCCATCAAATTTACTAGACAAACTAGAAGGGTATGGTATCCGTGGACCAGCTTTTGGGCGGATCTAGTCATGCCTTGTTAATAGATACAGAGGGTTTTTATTCAAAAGGATGAAATCAGCTGTTTTCAAAGGGGGCCAATTTTTATGGGTGTTCGACAGGGAAGAGCTATCGGTCCCCTTTTGTTTGTTTTTTATGTGAACAATCTGGCTGAGGAGATACTCGCTGATATGTCTTATCTGAATTTTACGGATGTCACAAATATTCTCACACTGGGAGCAGCACTATTTGAGCTTCTAGAAATGTCCCCTGAACGTTTAACGGCAACCATAGAATGGTTCACTAAAAACGAATTGGTAATCAGTAATCATTTCTAAGAAAACAAATTTCTTGGGTTTCGAACAAAATAAAGAGACAGAAAGATCTCAGATATCAACGAAAACCAAAAGCTAGCGCGAACTACAAAGTTAATAGGTTTTCACACTAACCAGAATTTAGATTGGGGAGATCATATCATGAAGATAAGATTGTTTACTACGCAAAAATTTATCCCATCCTCAGATATGGAATAATATTTTCGGGAGGTAGGAGTACTATGTCAGGGCTTTCAGAGCACTAAAAATATCAGTGCGCACTATATGCTATCTCTGCGAAGTAGACACACTTGTAGAGGAATTCAGTGCCTATGAAAGACCTGGCAGAAAACCAAGGCCAGTGGCCTCGATTACCCTCATCACAGACTCACCACAACCGAAAAGGACAAAACCTACTCGTATATAATTTTTTTTAAAATACCGTAATCACAGGGTGGAAAATAATTTTAATATTTTTGAGAATAGCTTAAGGAATATCCCTATAGAACTGGAAGCTTATACGTTGCAGCAATTTTTAGAACACAAATTTTAACCTGTTTTATTTATTAAGAGAAAAGCAATCTGCTTCATTTGTAAGCTAGTATTTTTCAATACTTCAGTTTGTGCATGTATATTTAGTACGCTTTTGTTTTTTTTTTTACTGTTATTACATAGTACCTGTTTACAGGTTTTTGTGTACTGACGAATAATTATTGAATTGTTACAATGGATTACTTATAACTGTTGTATACAATTTTACTAATTACAGGAATTTTGAATTGAATTGAATTTTGTCCTCCATAACTTCAGCCTAAAGTATATGGCACACCCTGTATGATTCACTTGGCAAAGGCCAAATTCAAAGGTAAATAATTCACTGCGGAAAAGAAAACCGTTCAACACAAAGCAGAGTTCGCCGCACTCGAAAAATAAAAGCGTACTTCACCCTCCCGCAGCCCCGGTTTCGCAGGCCTCCCTCTCACCCCCCGCCAAATAAAAAATAATAGAATATTATATTAGTATAGCACGGTTGGCCTACCCTGCTGTCTCCGATCCCTTACCCTCTATACCCCTTAACGTCCACCCAGAAGGTTGTTATATTTATATTCGGTATCATGTATTCACGTAAAATTAGTTTCCTTGGGCGTGGAATTTTGAATGAGAAATGCCAGAAGGTCATCTCTCTATGGTGACGCCAATTGTAGGGTTATGACAAATATGGCTGGCATTACTTGAAAACAATGTTTTGTATTAGTAAGTTTCAAGCGTACGAAGTCGCGGGTAACAGTAGGTGCAAAACAGAACTTCTGTATCGTTTGACGGTCACAGGTTAGTGGGACGAACCTTCATCAACAATTTTTTTAATATATGAAATAAATGGTGGTTAAGATTTAGGTTAGATATATGAGAAGATTAAAAGTTAAGAAAGATGGAAACAAAATCCAGCTTACCACTATGAGCAGCCCATCGACGCTATTTAGTCATTAAACGCGCATGCAAACTTTTAGTTCTCTCTCATAACTAGAGTTGTTAGAACGACTTCAGAACCTGTTCAGAATCAGTTCGGAATTTGTGGAAACAGAGAACTGCCAGTTACTGAATCAGTTCCATTTTCTCTTGGAACGTAATTTCGATCTGCGCATTCTGTTCAATTCATAACTAGTTCGATGGCTTGTAGGGCGACAAAGGTTAGACTTATGAACTATTTATTTCTTTAGGTGCTGAAAAATCAGCAGAATCAGCAAACCTGAATTAATATTCTCGTGACCAAGAAAATAGAACATCACTAAAACTGATTTGGTTCGAATGAAATTTTGTATACAGTTAGACATACCCAAGAGGAAGTAGTGATTAAAGGAGGGGGGTTAATAAATCCGGTTTTCGGACTAAATTTAATTTGGATGAAATTGTTCAATTTCACCGGTCACGGACTGACACGAGATTTTCCGAACATTTCTGTCATACATAAAAATGGTAAGACATAAAGCATTAACTTTATCTGCTATGGATTCGGCACATTTTTGAGGAACCAAAAATAAATATAATAGGATTTCTTAGTATAAAGTTATTGTGAAGGTAGAGTCATCACAGACTGACAAAAAAAGGAAACCCGAAAAATTGTGCTGTAATCATTCACATAATTGTCCGAAAAGAAGGGAAGAACTGATGTTCTGTGAAATGTGTTGTCTGAGTGAGAGTTATTTCTGTAAAATGTCACAAAAATAGGAACATCCTATATTTAAATAAATGCTAGTTAACAACAAAAAAACCAGTATATAACGGACCGATCTACAAATGTCACTGACAGACTTCATTATTAGCATTATTAAAATTTTAAGGCTAATAAATGCATAAGTCCAGTGGCTTTAAACAACAAACCTTACAGAAAATGCTTTGCGAGGGGGCGTCATGAAAAAAAGTGACTAATGACAAAAATAAACACAATGGCTTGCTACAACGCGGTCATCGTCTGCATGTATCAAAAATGCAGCTGTCCATTTTGCATTTAATACAAAGTGATGTTTGACAAGAATATATGTCCCAGCAGTGAACGCACTCGGTGCCTGCATTTGTACTTTCCTCTTTTTTCAGTTTGTTTTGGCTCATTAGGCGCGGGTAGTAGAGTCGCTCGTTCATGCGAAATCGCCACATTTGTTTACAAGGATTTATTATAAAAAATCACAGAAACGGGACATGCCCACATGCACTATTAAAGTGTACAGAAATGATAAAGAGGTCGAGTCAGATGAAAGAAAGAAATGTTTTGATTGCAGAAAATGGCGTCAAATATATTGACTCTATAGTTCCTACGAATTCTTTGGAGGTTTCAAAGAAAGGGGATGAATCAAATCGTTTCAAAAGGTGAAATCGAATCGTGATTAGGTAGGTTCACTTAGGTATGATGAATCGTCGACCCATATCAAACTATATAAAGCAAATCAATCATATTTATGTTTCCATGGTAGATGTAGAGAAAATATGTGTGACTTTATATGTCTAATAGATGCATAGTATCACTGAGATCAGCAGCTTCTTACTAATAGAACCTACAATTTTCATCCCCTCCCAAAAATTGCTGAAAATGCTGAGGAATCTCTAAAGCGTTGTAACTCT